TCTTCCCATGCGTGCGGGAAAATAGACCAATCAGGTTTCACCTCTTCGTCTGCATAGTTTCCTGCTTGGATCAGTAAGCCTCATTGTGTCACTTGCAAGCAAAAATGTATGATCCATGTCATCTCTATTCAATAAATTTTTTACCAGTATTGGAATAACTTTGGCAAATGCGATCAAACAAAAATGTACGCAATCCCAGTCTCCCGGAAATCCACCACCAGGAGTTAATTCAACCTTCAAATTCCAAGAGATTCAAATTACGTCTGTTCTCAAGAATTTATCAAAACTAAAAACGAACAAATCCACCGGTCTTGATCGTATCACCGCTCGACTATTAAAAGATGCTGCCGTAGTCATCGCCCAATCGCTAACCCAAATATTTAACCTATCCCTAAGCTCCTCTACTTTCCCCCAAATCTGGAAAAACGGTAGAGTCACACCTATCTTTAAATCTGGGTAGCGCTCGAACATGTCAAATTACAGACCTATTACAGTAAGTAAGATTTTGGAAAGTTTTGTTCACACACAAATCTACAACTACCTAACCGAAAACAAAATCCTAACTTCTAATCAATTTGGTTTTAGACCTAAACTATCAACCAGCACTGCTTTGGCTTTCTTTACCGACAACATTCTTGAAAACGCTGATAACGGTCTGATTACTGCCTCTGTTTTCTTGGACTTTAGTAAAGCATTTGACACCGTTGATCATGCTATTCTGTTGTGTAAATTAAAATCCGTTGGCTTGGATGACGATTCCCTAAATTGGTTCGAGTCCTACCTTTCCTCTCGTCAACAAGTAACATCCATCGACAATAAGCTGTCCAGCTTTCTACCCGTGTCAGTCGACGTTCCACAAGGAAGCATTTTAATTTAGGGCCACTTCTCTTCATTATTTATATCAACGATATTCCCAACATTGTTAAACACTGCAAGATATTACTCTACGCTGACGACACTCTTCTATACTACTCATCCAAGTCAGCTAGTGACATTGAGAAATACGTAAACGAGGACCTTAACTTGGTCTCTCAGTGGCTTGATCAAAACTTACTTACATTGAACTGCAAAAAATCTAAGTTCGTCCTGTTTGGTAGTAACAGCCGTCTGAAGTCGTTCACTAATATATCCATACATGTCAACGAACATCAACTTGCCCGTGAACGTACCTTTAAATATCTAGGTATAACTTTCTCAGAAAATCTCACTTGGTCTGACCATTTAAATAATATTTCAACAAAAATTAACCAACGCATAGGACTGCTAAGAAGAATTAAGAGGCAGTCCGTGTAAAAACCGACCACTCGAATTTCTTAAGATTACAGATTTCCTTCAAACTTTCTGTGTGGAAGAAGTAATTCATAAAATGAACAAAAAACGTTGACTTTGAAATTGTAGTCAGTTTTAAAAAATTTTTCGCAATTATTTTCGGACGCGTTCGAAAACAAGTTAAAACGTTAATTACGCAAGTGATATTTGAGCTTTTTTATATCTCACAGTTCATCTCGCGCTTTTATTCTAACTTCTTGAAACTTACATATTTTATTATTTCCTGCCTAGGCATAAACCTAAACTAAAAATTATCCTGATCACTTGAAGCAAACAAAATATTGTGTATTTTTAAAAACGTCTTTCAGACAGCTGATTAAATATTCGTATTAGTATGCTGGCGGTAAATTATTTTTTCTCAAAAGTGCAACCACGGGCAATAGGACAGGTGTAGTGCTGTTAAATAGAAAGTTAGAAATGGTATTATACTTACTCATGCATTAAAATTAGGTTTAAAAGATCAGAATATTCATAACTTCTTATTTTGTTTCATAAATAGTTCTTTAATATTCGAAACAAATTCCATATCTGCTTCGTCTGCCATCGCCATGTTTACTCGTCCCAATCTACAGCATGTACGGCATCGCCGCCCCTCCTGGCAAAATAATAAGCAAGCGAGAAAAATTAAGGAGAAAATAAGAGGGTAGGAACATCGTTGTCATAAGCTGGATGCAGTGACACTTCCATATATGGCACAAACGTATCCATAACTTCCATATATGGCACAAACGTATCCACGACGCGTTTTATAACGTTTTATTTGACGTAGGGATGACGTGTAATGCTGCTTCCCGCCTATGACGATTTGAATTAGTCATGTGATACAAAATTGAGAAAGCTGATTCGCCCAGAACGATGACACGCCCACAAAACGCCCACAATGTTCCTACCCTCTTATTT